GTGTGTTTTGCACTCCTAGTAATAAATGCTTTGACTTTGGACTTTATGTTTTCACTATCTAAATAAGTCTAGACTTTTGAAGGACAGAATAAAATTTACGACTGGTTAATTTTAGATTCCTGTTACTTTACTTCGGCCTCGTACTAAAAAATATAAAGTTTAAAGGCTGGTCGTTTATTATTCTAAACCTGAAATAGAGCGGCGGGTAGCCCAGCGCAAAAACGGTTGCTTCCCAATTGAGAACTACACGGTAATCATAGTGCTTCACAAACTCAGATGAAAACAGGTAATATTATCATCTTAAACAACTTTTGTTCGTATCAATAACATTTTTTTTCCATGTGGCCTCAGTACTGTCTTTCGAGGAGACCTGTACCTTTATTTTGTTTTACGAACAAATCAACGTTTCGGGTCCTCTTCAGTTCCCATGATAACGGCTGACTGAGATGGTAAAGTCTTTAACTAATTATGTCTAATATTAATGCAAACAACACTATTTCTGCACTATTGTTACAAAAGTTATTAATTTAAATATCTTATTTTTTTTACCAAAAAACATTCTCTTTTAAGCTACATACGTTTTGCGAAACTTGTGAGCCTCGGTGGCCTAATGGTTTGCACTGTAGGTGCTGGATGAGGATGCTCTTGATTCGATTCCCGGTAGGACCAATTTGAGACATGCACTTTCATACAATAAACAGTCAGCAGCAACCTGTTATCGTTCGTTTGCATTGAAAAACAAATATACACGATTTAGATTCGAAAAAAGTACTTTCATTTAAATGTGTAACAATCCCAAAAACCTAATAGAAGAAATTAGTTCTTTAAAATGTTTGTAACATGGCCAGAGTCCTAATAAATAGAAGGTACAGCTTTACGAATTAAAGGTTGCAAGGGCCGTGAACTAACATGGAATAACGTATTAATTTTTTTATTTATTTTAAAATATTTTTTTTGTAAGCGTTAACCTTCATAAATATAACGCGGTCAATATTAATAACGACTTCAACTATCCACGAAGAAAACTGATATATTGAGTTGTGCTTTTTGATAAACGTAAGAGCAACGTCGTTCTTGATGAAATACTGCGTTGAGAAAATAATAAAGCGTCCACATAAAGAAATCCACCCACTACGAGGAAGAAATAAGTAGTATATACGTTGTATTTATACCTTCATCGAAGAAAAACGAATGCCTTACGATTTTCTTTTTATAAAGTGGCCCATAACACGAAACTTGAACATAAAATTCAAATAAAAAATACTAACTCACATACATATTAATAACTCCTATTAATGATTCTAAAAGCCATTTCAGATGTAAAACCATTTTACGCAAAGAAACAGTTTCATAATTTTTATTATTCAAGTTGTCATAGAAATATATTGAGCAGGTGTCATCTGTTCTAACATGATGATAGAGACAGATATCAGAGAGGTGACATAATGCAGTTGTGCATTTCTATCCGTAGGCCAGTCACGTTGAACTGACAGCACAGCGCGTTAGAGTTGCGCTGTTTTCGATAAAAAATATATTGACGTTTTTTGAAAACTTAAATTTTTTCGCATATCTACGTACTGCATCCAATAACACTCAAATTGAAATGTATCTTTATTTTATAGGTAAATAAATTACACTTGAAATCATCATATTCTCTAAGAAGAATGAGTAAAACTCTCTAGAGGTTACTCATAGTAAATAAACATTTGTACACATTTCAAATATCGAAAATATAAGATCGAAACTACCTGCAAGAACTAAATGGGTCACTAGCATTGACTTTGTAAGTCAATGGTCACTAGCAACAATTTTTCTCATCCAAGTACTCAGAAGCTGTATAATGAACCTTAGTATAAAGTTTTTTTTTTCACTGTAACCTTAAACCTCGTAAATGGCAAGTTGTGACTTCGTCGTAGTCGTATACACTACCCCTGAGACGAATAAGTGACTTTGTGTAGACAACTGTCAAGAACAGCCAGTTTATTTTAATTCCTTATGTTAATATTAAGTCTCTGACTATTTTTCATAAAAAAATACTATTACTAACATAAGTTAGTGCTGCTACTTAACTATCTATCTACTATCAATAATACTAAGTATTATAATATGTAAGATATAGACGTATGTATGTATGTATGTATGTATATATGACGACCCTGTTACACACGCTGTCACGGAAGCGTAAAACGAGAAGGTAAAAATATCTTTGCAGGAAATTTTATTATCTCCTAGTTCCTCGTAAAAATAAAATCACAATACCGGTCCTAGTGTTTGAACCTAGAGTATGGAAAACCTATTCATACAGCCCGTGGTGTCCATTCTAGGCTCGCTGTTTAAGCAGTGGAGCTCCTTGTCAGAGTTCCTGGGACGTAAGTACTACCACCTTACCTATTTCAGCCGCCAAGCAACAATGTGAGCATTACTACGTTTCGATTTTGAAGGGTAAGTGGTGAAATCACAGGCACATGGGACTTCTCAACTTATGTCCCGGGATGACAGGCTCTGTGGCAACGCCCCTCAGATCTTTGTAGTTTAAGCCATTTGTGGCACTGCAACTGTTATGGACATGCGTGTCGCTTATTAACAGGCGCACAACTTGTTCGTTTTGTCACTTGGCATCATAAAAAATTGCATCTTTTATAAGTTTTCATGGCTTTTTCTTGATTTGACTTGGCTTTGGGAAGTGGGCAGTCCGGCCCATTGCAAGGCCTTTATTTGTTTTTGACGATGCTGTCTTATCTATATTTTATTTCTTCCATATCGTCGGAGATAGTGCAATTTGTACCTAGCATTTGATTATGAGTCTCCATTTCGGTAATTTAGTGGCCAAATCAAATGCGCGTAAATGTCGTGGCAACCCAATTAGCCCGATTTACGGGAATCTATTGTTATCAGTCCGTAGACAACGTCAGACAAATAAGAAATAACAATAAGTCATAGTGCAACTCTATTTTGATTCGCAGCTGCAGAGCGAGATGCCCTCAGCTCAACGGGATTTAATTGAATTATTCGAATGAACTGTCACTTCCGTCGCCTCGCGCACCGCTCCAACCGCTGCAGGATATACCAATTGCCACTTCAAAATATCATATTTGATTCACAGATTTAAAAAACAAAATGCCTATGGATGTGATAAGTATCCGCTCGGAGGACCAATTTGAAAATAATGGCTTACTACCGTCGTAGAAATCCATTATTATATAGAATAAAGACATAATTTTAAAGGAGTAAAGTATGTAGTTGTTGTTAATAATGTACTTAGTAATGTGTATCATACATAAGGACCTTTGTTAGTTAGTAGCTCTACCTATAAATAGGATTCTTCCGAGACCTTACATTTCAAGTAAATGATGAAGACAGTTTTAATAACTTTTAATTGACAGCGGCGTAACTTCTAACAATTAAAAGCCAATTAAGAGCTTATAATTTGTATTGACCATCATAAACTACCATACCATAATATAGTAATTAAAAACTAGAATAAATACATTTCTCCTGTCACAAGATTAAATTCGTGATCAAATTAAGTGCATTGCTGCAACGCTTCCCAACAACGAAAAAGTTTATATCAACTTTCATAAATCAATAAGTAGGTAACATACATCCGCGTTTTTCTTCACAGATTATAGTTATCGTAATCTGATGCAATGATACTTACATGTATTATAATAACACAACAGGTGTCAAGTAGCTTCAAGGCGACCTTGACTGGGCAGTCCGTGTAGCGGGTGCGGGGTGTAGTAACGGACACTTTCAGTTAGTATGGTTTACACACACACTCGCGTTTTGTACGGTGGTAGAAATAATTGGGAGCTGAACGTGACGGCCACACCCACCTCCTACGACGTTCCAGAACAGACTGAGCGGCGAATAGGTCGCTGTTTTAACGGGTTGCCAGCGCCGAGACATTGATTTCCACCTCTAAGAATATCAGTGGCTTTATAAAAAAAGATAAATATCATTCTGTAACATAGATATTTAGATTTTTCCTGCTTAATAGCTTATAAACTCATGATGCTAAGCCATATAAACGTGTTTTATCATTTGAAGTAATTTCATACGGAATAAGTGTATTTTACAAACAAAGAAGTAGGTGGATGTCATTTGGAAAAACAAAACAAAATTTGACAATGTTCGTTTAGACATATAATTTTTTTTAAAGTCGCCCAGTACTAATTAAAACATATATCAGTTTCGCATTGTTCCCTATTTGTAGGGAGCTTTCGAAAATGGTATCACAAGCTTGTGGATGATCATTCTGCCGACCGGTATCGTGCCCTGGGCACCCCATACGAAGCCTCCTTACCACTGTAATCGCGTCTGAACACGACACGGAACGACGAAAGCGGTTACTCCATTATTTTAGGTAACCATCGGTTGCTTTCAAAGACACTTGATGTTTCAAGTACAGTCGAAAGAAGCAGTGATATATATTCACGGGGTTGGTTAATATAAATCTCACGATATTGTTATGTATCCACAGTTTCCGCGCAGCAACACCTCCGAAACGATTAAATAATTGCAGATTCGCGGTTGTGGTTCGGCTCATTCGTGAATTTTCAACGAAATTGGGGCATTCCGTCGAAACTTTCTTAATTATATTGTAGCTAATGAATAAATAATGGACCATTTCGTGCAGGGGTTACTTTCAGCTACTGTTATCAAGGAGATTTTATATTTGTTCAGCAACAAACTTATTCATTTGGATGTCTACAATCAGTGAAGTTGCTTCCCTAGATTGGATTTTTTTTACAATAACAGTTCAAAATTTCCTTTTCAAATGTTCTGATCGTAACTAAAACTCATAATATGAAAAGATTACAAATAATAATTAATAAACCTTTTCTATAAAAAAAAAAAAACTTCAAAATTTGTGAAAATACATCTATTAGCCAAGTTTTATTAAAAACGGTCAACGGTAAGTGGTTGAAATCAAATAAACCTGATTTATCCCCTAATTTTATTTATTTAATGAAAATATTCCACCTCTAAGGGTAGAAACCCTTAGAGGTGGAATATTTTCTTAAAATTTAAATGGGACCAATACTGAGGTACCCTCTTTCCAACAAAATAATCATAAAAATCGGTTCACAAATGCCGAACTAATCGCGTAACATACAACATACATACAAAAAAAGTACAGTCGACTTGAGAACCTTCTCCTTTTTGGAAGTCGGTTAATTAGGTTTCGCCTAATGAAAATGTCACCGAATTTACCGATTTGGTTTACACACACATACACATGTTTATATATTTTTTATAGTACTAAGTGATGGAACGAACAAGTCGTGCACCTGTTGGTAAACGACACGCCTGTCCATAACAGTTGCAGTGCCACTCAGAGTTTTAAATCGCAAAGACCTGAGGTGCACTGCCACTGCCCATCACCCTGACACATAAGTTGACCTTTACCCTTCAAAACTGGAACGCAGTAAAGTTCACATTACTGCTTGGCGCTCCCTTGATGAACTCTTTCGCAAGGAGCTCTATTGCTATTAATATTTGTCAAAGATTAAGGATACAGATGACATAATTTATAGAAAAGGCTAAAACACTGTTTGTACAGAAAGGCCCTTGGTAAAAACGTCTAACTGCATAAAACTTGTAAATAATAAAAAAAATAACAATAAACTTTTCTTTATTTTGGTATATTTAGTATACTTTTACACCCCGCTCGTCAATCTGGAGCAGCAAGCAAAGAATAAAAATAACAATTTGTAACGTTATTTACATAATCTCCAAATTTTACACTTTTCTTCACTCTCATGGTTACGCTTCATTAAAATGTATTTAAGGGTTACACAAGATGTTTTGGTGGAACCGCCAATAATACTTTTTCGTTAAGTTGTGAATCTGTAATAAGAAGGATTATTATTGGCTTCCTTTCAAATAAAGCATACTGGTTTACTTTCACTACTGTATGAGGGCGAATTCGACACGATAAACGAACTGACTCAAATCAAAATTTGTCTTAATAAACAAAGGTAGCTCATCAAACAAAAGTAGTACATCTCTAGCTTATTAACCAACTTCTCACGGTTAGGAGTTAACTTCTTTGACCTTTCGACCCTTGATTATTAATACAAAGTTTTTTAAAAAGTCGTTGAAAAACCAAATACAAAGACACGACCCAAGCACATAGAAAAATTCGTGAGGTCCGTTGGTTCATTCCGTGGCTTAGTTGGTATAGCGTCTGCCACGGTATGCAAGAAGACGTCGTCGGTTCGAATCCGATCGGATCGAAGGAATTTTTTCTGAGTGTTCGATCTTTGTATTAATAATTATAACAAACTAGTGGAGTAATTTCACAAAAAATAATTGAATATCAATTCAATAAAAATTTAGTTAATACAAAGTTTTTTTTAAAATAAATATAATAGACAACATCACATACCTTGCTCTGATCCCAAAGTAAGTAACTAAAGCACTTATGTTTTGTTTTTATGATACCAGGGACGAGACGAATAAGTGGTGCGCCTGGTAGCAAGCGACAAGCCTACTCATGACAGTTGCAGTGTCACTCAGAACTTTAAATTGCAAAGATCTGAGGGTCACAGCAACCGCGCCTCACCCTGACACTGAGACATTATTTTTTTAGAATTGACAAGTGCCACTTATAACAGAAATGCAGTAATGATGGCCTTGCTTGGCGGTAGAAATAGATAAAGTGGCAGTACTTCCTTGAACGAACTCTCTCACAATAACTTCTACTGTTACTACATTTATATTATTGAAATCAGAAACAACGAAGGTACCACAAACACCCAGATACGAGACATTATTGAAACATTGTGTTTCTACATTAATCCGGCCGCGGATCGAATCCGAGAGATGGCGATATGAAAACCGGTGTGTTAGCCATTCGTCCACGGATTCCTTCCTTCAAACTGGACTCGAACCTCGTGTAGCCACGTTTGAAGCCAAGCCTTAGCGAAATAAGAATGCAGAATGATCGGTCCATATAATTTATTGTAAAACAGCAAAAGAAGAGGCTGTAACAAACGAAATGATATAAAGAAATACAATTAATATAAACACATCTTATACAAGACTAAACACAATACTCACAAAAGAAGAGG